TATATGCTGTTTTGACTATTAACTAAGGAGGCAAGTATCTGCTGTTTTGAGTATTTTTCTTGTTATAAATTACTTGTGAGCTTAGTAGCTTATACGACTCTCAACTCAAAAAACCAATTAGATGCTTAAAAAATGAATAGCCTGATTCAACACTATTAGGAGAAAAAGTCAAAAATTATACATAAGAGGAAAAAGAAGTTCTGATTAGCTAATTTGGGCTGGAATATTCAGTTCACACACTACTTTAGTCTTCCTTTTTGGAAATGACCTTGCTTTAGCAGAAGGAAATCATGAATATGCACACACATTTTTTTTCCTATCTCAGTATATAGGATTCAGAGACATGCATATACATGTTTGCACAAGTGACCACTCTTTGGGGCACATCTAATGATTTAGCATGGTTTAGGAGGTGTCTTACTTCTCAGTCTAGTGAGAAGTTGGACCTAACATGAACCAGCTCAAATGAAACAACTGAAACCAGTACCTCCTCAAAACATGAGAACCTGGTCCTTGTGAATTTAAAAGCAGTGCCTCCTTAACCACAAATGAAACAACTGAAACCTATAAAACCAATAAACCTCTTAACTGAAATGAAAACCATACACATCTGTTACCATAAAAGAGTGAAATTCAGCCATAAGCATTCAATCCAAGGTACATAGACATCATGTCACGCCCCGGACCTCCCCGGACACGTCAACAACCCGCCGTACAATACGAATAGTCAACCGCAGTCCAACACATTCATATTATACAAGGCGTCTAGAATATCATTCACACGCAAGCCATCCATAAACAACATAATAAGCAATTGAATACGTAGCGGAAAACATAGTTTGAAAACAAATGCCACACGTGGCTAACATGAGCACGCAGGCTCTATAGTAAAATATTCATGAGCATGTTTATTAATGTTTAAAAACCGAATGGAGGAAGCACGAACCAAGTCTTCCTTCCTAGATGATCTCTCGAGCAACGAGCACAGGAAGCAAGCTCTAGCCTCAACCTGAAAAATGGTAGTGGGACGCCCCCGAAGGGGTCAGCACTCTATAGGGCTATAAAGTGCTGGTGTGGATGGCATCTAATAGATATACAACAAGTATTTCAAACACAAGACCCTCAAATAGGGTGATGATATAATCTAGGCCGTAACCCCAAGTTACCCCGTTTTAAAATATACTTACTTTATATATAAAGTCAAGTAGTCGGCCCGTAGGCCCAAGGTTTGTTTATCAAACGTAGCCCAAAAACCCCGTGACCCCTAGTCACAACAATTCATAGGGTTCAACCCTAACACATATGTTTGCATTCTCGAGTCCAACTCGACTACATCACCATGCACCTTAATTAACATAAGCTAACTACTCCACCGTGCATTTCTTGAGTCCAACTCAACTACATCACCATGCACAACAATCACCCCATCATGTCTACCCAATGCAATTCTATGAGCACGGCTCAAGTACATCTCCTTACATTGGCATAGACCCCAATTCCTAAGCACTCGCTATGCCTAGAATTGTAATATCAATAATCTATTTTGGGACATCCTTACGGACTGCCCAACCATGATCTTAGCATCACGTTACATCAATTTAGCCACTTGCATCACAATCAAGTACATCAATTACAATCAAATCCTTAGATTCAATTCCTTAACAATTACAACAATCATTAACTAGTATTTCAATACTATTAAGATTATTCTTATCCATCATATATTTCATTTGTAAAACCCTACATATTTAGAGATATGTAGCAGCAACTTAAGTATTCAATCTCAATACATAAACATTCATTTATATATCCACATAACTCATACATGAGTAAAATGCCTATTTCACTAAATAGTTCATTTATAACTCATTTAATCTCATTTTATTCATACATTCTCAAATCATTTCCAATTTCATTCTTTGGCAACTATGTCCATATTTCATCATTATATAATCATCATAATCCATAAAAAACTATGATTTAGGCATTTAGGTAATCCCATGCTTAACCTACAAGTTGTAAGCAATTAGATGTCAATCCTCACCTCAAATGAGCTTTAAAACTTTCCTTCTCGATCCAATGACCAAAGCCTCGACCAAGGAAGCTTGAGAACTGATTCCTTGCTTAGAAATGAGTGTCAAACAGCCTCCTCAAAGTGCTAGTTCAACCCTTAATCGTTGGTACGAAAACAGCCCCTAGAATGGGTGTTTTCCGGTTAACTCGTTTCCTAGTTTTCCAAGATTTGCTCTAGGTTAGTATCTAACCTTTACATCAATAAAATAACTTTATGGGGACATATTATACACTTTGATTAGTGTACCATAGTTCCACCAATCGTTCATATCATTTGGAAAATGAATGGAAAGGTTTTGGGGTTAACAAATCACTTTAGAAGAGTAGATCCGTTTCTGCGAGGTTGCGTTTTGCTCGGACGATTTGGAAGCCTTCCACTACTCCGATTGATGCAAACCAGATCTTCACGGATTCCTCGTCTTGAGAGATTTCTTTTTGTATCTCGCACGCCTTATTTGGATTGGTATAACTCGAGATATCAACCAAACAACTTCAGCACTCTCACTGCTCGAGTTTACAGACAGCAGTTCACTCCAGCTCGATTTGTGTATGATATACTCTCTCCTCTCGAACAGAGACCACTCAAATATGAAACTACACTTCAAGGGCTATCCAAGGACACCTCATACACGTTATTTGGTTGAGTATAGCTCCTATAATGAGAGGAGACAAACAGCACACCAATTTGTGCGAAAATAAGGATGGTGGCCCCAAAATTTGATTCCAATTGTGTCATGTGCAGTTCTTCTCCATGTGGTGCGGCCAAGGTGAGTCTTCTCACATATTTTCTTTGTCTTGCAGGTACTCAAGCCACATGGAATGCTCCCCAATTGATCTCAATCAATTTGAGGTCCAAAATGTCTACCAATACTTCCAAAAAATGGGAAGATGGGTCCTATTGTTTTATCTTTGTCAAAGATGTCTTTTTGTACTCATCCTAATTTATTTAGAACAAGTCAACTTATTACATCACATTATTGATCTCCAATATGTGTAGGCTCATGACAATAATTTACTTGATAGGTATCATAGAAGGAAAATCCTACTCCCATTATTTAGCCCAATAATGTCAAAGATGGGCTATAGGCATTTGTATTCCTCTCTAATCATTCTATCACTTATTTTGACATTTGTCATACATATTATTGGACTACTATCCGTGTGGGTCACTCCCGATTGGGTCTAGGATGCCATTCTCGAATACTTGCTATTTTTAGCAGGTTGGGCTCAAAATAACGTTTGGGCCGTCCGACCTTACTCGGATTGTCTTGAAAGATTATGTATCACTATTTAGATAATGTTGGGCTCTTTTATTTATTAATAAGACTCAAATAGTATTTGCATGCCCGACACTAATATACGAGTTCGAACAGTACAATAATCGATCATTAATTACGTAAAACATTAATCGTTTTACAATTGTTTGGGAATCAGAAATCCAATACATAAACTTTGAATTTTTAAATCAAATTTTCAAGGACGTTCGGGTGCGGTGTCACACATCATCCAAAATACATCATCCAACTTAACACCATAACTGAACTGAAGTCTTGCTTCCAAAACCCAACATCTAACAACATTTTAATTGTGAATAAGGGTTGGTACCCATGATTTATGTCAATATATTCTATGCAGAAAAACTTGTACGTTGTTGTTAAAAAGCGGTACCGTACTTTTCACGTTACGTGCTTATCCTTTCTACACCGTTAACTATTTTGCTTCCGTCAACTAGTTTGAGTTGCCTTCAAAAAGGACCAAAAAAACCGTACTTAGGGCAGAGCAAAGGTTTTCACTCTACTCTTGTGTTCTCGTGCTAATGTGTACCTTCCGATGGTGGTGGGGTGACAAAGATTCTTTTGAAAATAACTCATCCTTCATATGCCAAAACTTTGCTCTGTCCCAATTTACTTTAGTAACGTAGATAAGTTGTGCCGCCAGTGGGCATCAAAATAGTACTTTAATTTAGATGATAATAAGAAATTTTATGATGGGTGTTTTTGGGTATTTGATTGGAATTACTACATGATCAGTGAATAGAGTTATCGAACATTGTCTTATTTGGTCTTGGTAGTCAATCATCAATTTTTTTGTACGTAACTTATTTAGTAATGGAATTTTACGTTTCGAACTGAACCCCAACTTCTAGAACATAAAATCCATGTAAAGTTAGAACTTTGATGTGTGATAATGATTTGAAGAGCTCTTGGGGCGTTTTATGCTTTTGTGCAAGTGCTCATATCAAGGTATAGTATTTGAATCTTCTCCCTTTTAAAGTTCCGATCCAGTTAACTTTGTTATACTTTTCAATTGCTTTATTGTTTTTGTTTTTAGATTAACTTTGCATCAGATTATAATGCTTATGCAAGCTTGCAATGTGTTTGGTATGTTCTGTACTGGAATGGAGTTTAACTTTTCTAGCAAGATGTAGGAAGATAGCATTCATGTCTTGTGGTTACTTCCCCTTTAAAAACTTGTTATTTGATTCATGATTTGTGTGAAAGATTATAAATTTGATGAATGAATGAGTTTGTGGTTATGTATTGCTTGCTGTTATTCTACGAATTAGCCCGCGGAACACTTTGAAGGAAAAAAATTAAGCTTTCTAATTCACCCGACACCTGGACGTTTATCTAAATAAGTTAGTGGTTAAAGACACCACTATCACAAATTCATATATCATTATAAAATCCTATTTTCACTACAACTATTTCGTACACTACAAAAAAGTAGGTAATTTATTGACCCACATAGTTTTAAATATGTAATCACACAATTTACAAAAGATGTAAAAAAGTCATACACTATTTAAAACTCCTTATTATAATATGAACCCTCGTACATAGGTAAAAATAGTTATATACTAGTACAAAAAAACATTTACTTTAATATTGGGCCAAACTCTCGCGCCTTGCGCGATAAAACGCTAGTAAACAAAAGACATAAATTAAACACCATCCTTTCACTAAATCCCAGGGCAACAGTCAAGTAGTGGCATTGCTTGTAGGAGAACCAGGCAGCACCTGAAATTATTTGTGGACCTCCAACCTGACCAGGAGCCTACAAAAAAGAATCAAAGAATTTCATAAAATATAACTAGATAAACAAATGAATTCATTATGAAATTTTAACTAGATAAATCATAACAAATGAAATCACTAAGATATTTTAACTACATGAATCGTTCTCACATTAACAAATGAGTTCCCATGATCATCAATGAACACACCAAATCCCTGAGGTACCTGCATCCAAATAACAACAATTATAACTACCTTCGACACAATAAAATGGAATTACAAAGTTGTTTAAAAAAATTAACTACCTGTCTTCCGGTTCTTCCTTTCCCTCTACCGTTTCCTCTCCCTCTTCCTCTCATTATTATCCTCCCACCTCGTCCAGTTTGAGTAGGTTGTGAAGTGACATTGGCAAGTTCAGCTCCTCCTACAGGCTCCCTACATGGGATTGCATCCTTCCTTGGTCCCCCCTACAAGCTCCTCCTACGATTTTTAAGGTAAAATCGTAGCTTAATAAAATACTCGGTGTTCATCAGAGATAATGGTGATTTCAGCATCATCAATTTCACCTAAAGCAGTATTCAACTGAACGAAAAACCATTCCCAGCTGTCACTGTTTTCCCCTTCCACCACTGCCCAAGCTAGAAGATACATCTGTTCATTAGCATATCTTCCAATAGCAGAAAGCAACATACCACCCAGAAATGTTTTTAAAAAACACCCATCCACACACAATACTTTTCTACACCCTTCGAGTCAGCCTCAACAACTTGTTTTTGAATTTGGGTACCAATCTCAAGTATCTTTACATTCCATCCCTTCACTTGTTCTCTAACCCTTTGATACTCTTCATCATTAGTATCTTCATCTGATCCAAGCAATCCATCCTCTATGTTCTCACTATCCTCAGCTTCTGAAAAATCAGCTTGCACATCATAAACTTCACCATATGGTATGCCCTCTTCAGTTAGTGGAGTATATTCTGGGTCAGAGGAGTCATCTTCGTCATCCCATGTAAAAGGACTGTGTGGTCTTTCACTTTCAAAAGGCCCAGAATATGATGTGAACGGTTGTGAAGTACCTATATCTTCCCCATTGTCAGCACAGACGTGTGTTGAACCTTGAATTTGAAAAGTGGATGAAATCTCATCTGTAAATACTTTGACTTTACTCCCCCCCTTGGACTAAGTTTCTTCTTCCTGTTGGCTGATTTCATCTCTGCAAATCCAGGCTGTCCCTGATATTCAATTGCCTCAATTAAGTCTGGAACAACAATGCCATGAATGACATAGCAATCTATGCATCTGCTCTTTAACACCAGACTGATCAAATCCCTCACTTGATCATCCTGATATGCCTTTTTAAAACCTTCTTCATAGCTTAGATTGGGAACCATGTAGTAAATGGCATCTTTGGTGGAGTATTCCCCACACTTCTTAGCCAGCTCTTCTAACCAAAACCAGCAAAGTTCATCTGCATCTTCATCAAATGTCCTAGACTCACCTCCCACATATTCTAGTGCTCCCATGGTGTTCTTCTTAAACACACCCCCATGCAATATGCGAAGACTAACTTGAGTGTCGTCTATAACCTAATAAGCCACCATGTCACAGATTAACATCCTTCATTTAAGAAAACCCAACAAATGAAATTAATTAAAACCAGAAAAGCCAATAAATTCAGCTAAGCCACAAGAACCCTAATTTTCAAACTAAAATTATACACGAAGACAAACCGAGAGCATACTAAGAGTTTGAGAAATACTGCCTCCTAAATTTTCTTTAGACCTTACACCTCCACAACCTCCTATACTTCCTTAGAATTTACTTCAGTACATATTGCAAAAGCCTCCCATCAACATATATGAAGCTTCATTTTATAAATATCCAACCTATATGAAGCTTCGTTTATATAAATATCCACCGGGTGTTACTCTTACTTTGATATCTAACATATATTTCATAAAGAAATGCTCAAACCACAAACCACAAGAACCCTAATTTTACCCTAAAATTATGTGGACACTAACCCACATCAATACTAAGAGTTTGAGACAAATTTCCTTACCATTTTTATTTCTACTTGTAGGCTAATGTATAAAATCCAGGTGCGGATGGCGCTATCAAGAGCTTCCTGACGGAATTAATCTTCTAGGATGGAGAATGGGTGTGAGCGTTGCTTGAGGATGATTCATTTTTTCAGTTTGTTACTTGCACATATTTTAGTTTTAACTGGGTTTGCCGGTTGCCAATGCACAAGGACTGATTAGGGAAGGTTAGTCTAATAGTTCCAATTAATTTAGAATAAGACATAGGAGGGATTAATAATAAAAGAGTGTCAATAGGTTGGATTATTAGTGTGAATTTTTCCTAAGAATAAACATGAAAATACGATTGATAGAGACTTTTATGTTCAAATTTTTTCTTAAATGGATACAAGTTCTAAATTTAAAAAATTAAAATCTGATTGTATAGTGCAATTTCATGCTGCACTTAGAAGATATTTTATTTATTGGCTAAAACATTTTATTTTAGCGCGTGTGCTAAAACATTTTATTTCAATCAACAAAATAAATAACTATCACAGGCATTTCCCATATTTGTAGCATAAAGTTGTGCTATAGAATCGTGAAACATTAGAGCCCGTTTGACAACACTGTTATTCGGCTTATCAGATTTATCAACCAACTTTTTCATCAAACCCGTACCTTTTGATTTCGTGTGCCGAAATGTGTAATGAAAAGAAAAAGTAAGGTTGAAGTTACTTTTCTGGCTGTTTCGGGTTAAGTTACTATAGAGGATCATTTTAGGTATTTTAATATATCAGAGTTAGGGGTGAGCATTTGGTCGGTCGGTCAAATAACCGACCGATAACCGAATAACCGACCAATGTTTTTTCCTCTCATAACTGACCGAAAACCGACCAACAACATTACAAAAAACGACCGAAAAATGTCATTCGGTTTCGGTCGGTAACCGAATAACCGAACATAACCAACCAAAACATATATTTTTCAAAATTATAAAAGTTGTAGATAGCACATTAATAAATGAAATAATAAATACCAAAATGGATTCAACATATTTATATGTAAATAATTGTTCTTAGCACAATACGATTACAAAAACTAAAAAATCCCACGTTGAAACTACTTCATTGTTCCACAATTGTCTTTTTCAATATGAAAACAAAATAAAAAAGAATATGTTAGCAAATAAATAAGCTAATATCTTATTAATCTTTACACCCCGAATGAGCAAACCCATCTAAAAGTTTCTGAATACTTTAAATCCACTAAAGAAAAAATTAAAAATCAAAAGATCTGCCATGTTGAGTAAGATAATAAAGAATCTAGAAAACATTAAAAGAAAAAATGTGTGCAATTTCACAACGATTAGATAAGGATTTCGGTTGATTTTTCTTTACCAAGGTTGATTCCTCCAGAACTAATGAAGGTGTACGTGGAGGTTTGAAATTTTGAACAGGGTGTTCCATGAATTGATTATAAGAATACACGTTAAAGAAATGGGGAAGTGGATAATTGAAGAACGGGCTCCATAGCATTCCATTGATGAGTTTTGTAGGTGGAGTTCAATAGGTGTGGGTTGGACTTCATATTTCATTACTACGGAGTTCTTTTTTTATCGTTACTATGGAGTTATTAATTTATTATGGAGTATATTAATTATATTTACTTAAATATTTACAAAAAAAAAAATCGGACGGTTATCGGTGACCGACCGATAACCGACAAATAAAACCGAATAAAAACCGAATAACCGAATAACCGATTATTTTTAATTTATGATAACCGAAAACCGACCGAAAACCGATTTTTTCGGTCGGTTCGGTCATCGGTTTTCGGTCAGGTCGGTTGAATCGGTTATTTGCTCACCCCTAATCAGAGTAACTTTTTTTAATTTTGTTAATAAAATATATTTTAAATTTATTTTTTCCCTACATCAGCAGAATCAGCCAATACAACCACTTAAACCAGAACTTCACAAATTTAACCATGATCAGCCGATTCAGCGGATTTCAGTATTACCGAACGGGCTCTTAATTTTTGAACCTTGATCCACTCAAGAAAAAATTTGAACCTAAAATCATACACAAATTGTGCCTTCATATATTTTTTATTTTATATATGCAATATTGGTGCAGATAATAAAAAATCATGAATTTTGATATTTTTTTTATAAAAATCAGATAATAAATCAAAAAGTTATATCAATTTTTAAAAAATAGAGATTTTTTAAATTGGGGGTCCCACCTTCACAAGCTTAGTGTGTGTCATTTGTTGCTATTGTTCGCTACTTTCGATTCAAATCATACGAGGCCAAACCTAACCCCAGTTAGTGCAACAGTAGTTTGGTATATATTTTTAACCAAACCATATTTATATGTAAATAATTTATTGTTTACCGTTAATTTTGAAAAAAACTCATTCTTTTGCCATGCCCTTTAATGCAAAACTTTAAGCAACACCATTTTTCATAAATTAAAATTTGAAAGGGAAAATAAGCAAACTATAAGTGTACATATCTACATGGATTGGGTTTGACTTTGTATCAGATCTGGTAGGAATGAACAAAGTATTTGGCAACAATTGGTTTTAGGTCAAGACTTGTATCGTGTAGAGTTTAGAAACCTTTAAGATGCCTCTGTTAGTGCCGTGGTGTCAAAAAGTAACCCAAAAACCTTACGTGTGTGCCTTTTTGGTCCATTTGAAAAATTAGTGGTTTATTTGAACTTTATTCATAACTTTAGTGGTCAATTTGCATCTTCTCCCTTTAAAAAATGCTTTTAGAACTTTTTAAAAAAATTCTGCTAGAGTAATTTGAATAGGTTAGGATTACTTTTGTTTTTTTATTCAAACACTCCATATTTGCTCCTACTAGTCGAAAGAGCTGAAGCAGTTTTAAATTTAAGGGAGTTTTTGCGATTGTTTGTGCTTTATAAAAGTGATTTTTTAAGAGATTATTAGAAAAATGATTTATAGTAAAAGTAGGTAGTGTTTGAGAATAGAAGTGATTTTAATAGAAATGCAAAAGTTGGAGTGTTTTGATAAAAAAGTGATTATTGATGTAATATGTAGTTAAAATACAAAAATATTAATGCCTAAATCTAATAGATAATTCAAATAAAAAATTTAATGGAAGAATGAAGGAGGTGTCCCCTATCTTTCTCTCTCGCTAGTGAACCCTCTGGCCACAAACACGCAGGTCGTCGGATTATTCTGCCATCCTTCACGCTGCCGGACGCCAGTTTTCTCACTCCCGTGCCGATTTCATCACATTACACCACCAACTGACATTAGAACTGGGACTTGCAGACTCGATGAAGCCAACTGCGTGCAACCCGAAGCCAACCCCTGTGCACTCTTTCTCCTCCCAGATTTGCTGCAAGTACAGTGAAGTAGACACCTTGGCCGCAAATATATATTCTGTATATATGTTACAGTGTAGAGAAGAAAGAAGGAAGAAACGAATGCCTATTGCGGTGTCGACTGCCGAGAAGATAGAAGAGGCACTTTTGGTTTAATTGAAATTTTTAATCTAATAATTATCCCCAAAGTTCCAATTATTTACTAAAGTACCTAGAAGCAGAAAAAACATCCCAATGGCTACTTCCGGCTTTTCACTTAAAAGTACTTAAATTAATCTAAAGTTCTCATTTGCAAACACCGTTTTAGTTGTTTAAAAGCCAAAAACGGAAAAAGTGTTTTTTTAAGCAATAGTAAACACTGCTTAAGTAGGCTCAAACACCTCCTAATGTGCAAGTTTTTTAAAAATTGCTTCTAGAAGTATTTTGCATTTTGGAAGCTTGGGGAGTACTTTTGCATTTTCACTCAAACACTCCAACTTCTACTCTCAAAAAATAGAAACAATTTTAAGAATCAGAACTAAACATTCTCATAGTTTTACAGTTATGTCGGATAGTATCTCTATCTTTGACTAGCAATTTTGGTAAATTATATTGCACAGTCGATTGTACCATGTCACAGTATATTCACACGTTTTGGTGAAGTTGCGAACTCATCACCATTAAACAAATGGACGGCTCAACACTCGCACCCGCATTCGCCGCTTGCACCCCAAACAGACGGTTCGCTGCTCGATGTATGGCTCGTTGTACGCACCCAAACGTAGGCCGGATTGGAGTTCTTCAC